GCCCAGCCGCCCGCTGTAAATCTCCCGGAGTTTAGCGCGCTTGTTTGTATCTGGCCAGGCCCTGAGGGACTCGCCTGAGGGGGCAGGGGCGGGAGGGATGGGGCGCCCCGCAGCGTGGGGACCCTCCTGGAGAGGCTGCTGCTCCCTTCTCAGATGGAAGAGGGGTGAAGGGAAACAGAGGTTCCCTGGCTGTGCCTTTTCTGAACTCTGCCTTGTCCCCAAGGGGGACGGGAAGAAAAAGTCAAATCCAGAGCCCAGAGGTCCCCCTCAGTGCACGGGAAAGGACAGGGGCCTCACCATCCTCCCCACCCGTTTGTGAACCTCCTCCCCAGTACCCCACTTAATCTACCTCCATCACCCCAACCCCCAAAGGGCTGGTGGTGTGGGGAAGGAGAGATCACCCTGGCCAGGAGGTCACCAAGGATGGTGACGAGTTTAGGGCAGGGAACCAAGGTTCTGTCGCCGATGACTTGGGTGCTCTCGCTCACGTTATTTCACTCCCCTGAGCTGTAGTTTCCTCCATGGGATCATAATAGCTCCCGCTCCGAAGGGAAGATTAAATGTGTCAGTTCAGGTGAAGGCTTTAGCATAGAGCCTGGCACTTAGTAGGTGCTCAGTAAATGCCAACTAGTGTGATTTGTGCCAATCTGCCAGCACTTTGTTCATCATGTGCTTAGTTAGTTGCTCATTTACTCTTTATTTTGTCAACTGTTCATGGCATCCATCTACCCAGCCATTCAGCAGCTTTGAGCTAGGTGGTTCTGGGCTCTAGTGGAGAATTCTGCAGAAGGCCACAGTCCTCCCAGGGGAGCTCTAGTCCAGGTGGGGTAGTGAGATCGACACCAAAAGTTGTACTACTTCTGCACTCAGTAACATTTCAGGGCAGCTTGGGGGAAGGGGCTGGCCCCACCCATTGGCATGCCCGTCACTGTCTGCAGTCACTGGTCTGAGAGTCACAGGAGGAGTGAAGGGCCAACTAGACCGTGAACCCCCAGAGGGCAACTCTCCTCCCCCAGTTGTAGCCCCAACCCCAGCAGAGCCTAGAGCCGGCACTCAGGACCTGTCAGCAAGTGCCCTTTGATTGATGAGTTGGGAAGGCTGGACTCTGCCACACTCTCCTCTTGCTCTAGGGATGACACACCTGTCATACAGCCTGCACACGTGTGTCCCAGCTCACCTGGGCACATGTCAGGAGGGCCAGGAGTAATGACAGGGAACTGCTAGGTGGTCACTATTCAGAACAGGAGGCTCAGAAGAGCCAAGTCTGTGTCACAAAGCCATGTCCTAGCCAGTTTTGCTGTACTGGTTCATTTGTTCATGCACTTATTCATTTATTCAACAAGTGCTTATCGAGTCTCCTGGGCTAGGGGCTGAGGAGGACACAAATGAACATGACTTAGTTCTGCCTCTCAAGAAGTCCAGGACAGTGTTAGAGCAAATGTTTTGGTGATATCAGTATCAGGAAAGCTCTTTAGGAGCCAGGAAAGCTGTAGAGAGGACTAGAAGGTCCACAGGGAAGAGAAACCATGTCTGGTGGTGGTGGGGTAACAACAACAGTAACAGCCAGCAGGCACTTTGCTACGCATTTTTACAGGGAATAGTCAGACTATGGCTTGGCTTGAATCAGGGCTTGCAGAGGATTAGAATATTGACGGGGAGAGATGAGGTGGGATGTTGGAGGGCGATGCCGTTCCAGAAAGAGGAGGAGCATGAACCAGTGCACAGAGGTAGGAAATCGCTAGGCGGGGAGTGTGCAGGGGAAATACTCAGAGTCCAACTTGGCTGGCAAATATGAGTGAAGGAGAGTAACGGGAAGAGTTGAGAGAGGGGTAGGTAGGGGCCAGATCACAAAGGGCCGTGAACATCAGAGTAAGGAGTTTGTACTTTATTTAGTAGGCAGTGGGGAGCCATTGAGGGTGTCTGAGCAGCCGAGTGACATGATTAGAGGTGTGCTTTAGGAACATCAACCTGGCAGCAGCCACAGAACAATTGGAGACGTAGAACTTAAAGGCAGAGAGCCCCGCTTGGAGGAAGATGCTTTGCCTGGAGACCGGTGTATGGTGGTCACTCAGTAAAGGTTTGATTGGATTGAAGAGATCCAGGAAAGCTGTGATAAGGGCATTCCTGGGGTGAGTGGTGATGATGAGGGAAAAGTGGGTGCAAAAGACATAGGAAGTATCTCGAATTTGTAAGCTGATTGAAGGTAGAGATGGGCTGGGTGAAGAGCTAGAGGGTCCAAAGTTTTTGTGAGGGTACGTGGGTGGGTGACAGGGCTATTTACCAAATAGGGAATCACACATTGTTTCTGGCGTTAAGAGAGACAGATGAGTTTGCTTTTCAACATATTAGCCTTGTGGTGTGTGGATTGTGGACTTGGATCTGAACAGAGGCTTGGAGTCCGAGGCCAGGGGTCCCATCACCTGCAGGAAGGTGTTAGCTGAAGGTGCCGAGCGGATGTGTCTTCTGAGAAGCGGTAGGAGAGAAGAGGGCCCAGCTGAAGCCTGGGTTTTGCACTGTAGCCACATCTCGGGAAGTGGTAGGAAGTGAAAGAGACAAAGAAGCGTTAGAGATGTGGGCAAAGCAGGCGAGTGTAATGGGCAAGAGAGACAAGAGACCATGAGTTTTCCAGAGTGGCCAGTATTCCAAGGGATGGAGCCTGGACTCAGACTCGGGGTCTATTGGCCAGGAGGTTGGCCAGGAGGTCATGGGCAACCTTGTCTGGAAAAGAGCTGGTGAAGTGGAGGCTGGGAGCAGGGGACACTCCAGGGCACATGTTCAGGAACACTGTCACCTACTCACTGCTCGGGCCAAGCCCCCAGACTCAAGGTTTCCTCAGAGGCTCTCTTCTGTCCCTCTCCTGGGTGGGGTGGCTGCCACCCTGGCCGGGGAGGAGAGTGGGGAACAAGGAGACCGACTGCTCCCTGACTTGGCACCCTGAGACCCCAGCGTGCTTGGGGGCTCATTGGGTTCACACTATTTATTTGGCTTTGAACCACACCAAGGTGTTCTTCCTCTAACCTCCATGGACAGGTTAGCCACCCTCTTCCATGGCGTTGGTGATCACAGCCTGCTACCTGTCTTGGGCCATCCCCTAAGCATCTGAGCTGGTGGGACCCAGTCCCCCAGGACTGTGGCCTACAGAAAGTGGCTGGGTCTTGGGAGAGTAGAGGGAGCAGGACCCAGAACTATGCTTCCCGTTTAGGAGGAGCAAGGCATGGGAGGTGGTGTGGGCCCCCACCCTCCCGGAGGGGACCCGCAGTCCTAAATGCCCCCGCGCCTTCTCCATATTGTGGGAAAAGCTGCCGCATCCATCACTGTCAGGCACCGAGTTTGAATAAATTTGAATGCACTGAGCCGTGGGCTGCAGTTTCTATAATATCACTTTCCAGTTTGAATATTTCACTTACTTTTTTTTTTCAAATTTCTTTTTATCCAACAGTTTCTCCTCCTTTTCATCTACCCCGCTGCAGCCAAGCTCTGGATGTAGAGAGGACAGTGCCTCGAGGGTGTCTGAGACGGGAAGAGGCCAGGCCTTTACCAGCTTTGGCATCTCTGTCCTCCCCCGCTCCCCCCACCCGGCACATGTGCTCCCTGGGCTGGGAGCCCGAGCCTCCCCCAGCCCCCACTCCTCTGTAGATGGGAGAACAGCAGCTGGAGAATGAGCCACCCTCGCTTGCACTCCCACCCTTCGGCATGGGCAGACCAAGTGAGCCAGGGCCCTGCTTCCTCTGGACGGGGGCCTGAGACTCTGACCTACTGACCCTCCATCACACACACACACACACACACACACACACACACCATCTGATATATTAATTTACACCTAGATGTTAATGGCAGATTGCAATTTCCCATTAGGAATCTTGCTCCTAAGTCCACTGTCTTGCCTTCCCCTACAAACATCCCTCCTCCTCATTTCTGAATTCCCTTCCTCCCATCTCCCTGCGTCTCTTCACTCTCCACCATCAGTGTGGTGCCAACACAGCCATGCCTTCTGGATGAGGGCTGCTGGGAGGGAGAAAGGACTAGAGCCCTGGCAGGACACCCTAGAGAACCACCCCCAGTTCCCAACCACAGCCCGGTGATTTGCAGACCATGGTTGGTGCCCTCCCCACTGTGCACCCAGAGCGCAGGGCCTGGGGAGAACTGAGGTGCAAGCAGGGAAAGAGACCATCAGGAGCAAATGAGCCAGGGCTGCATTCAAAGTTGGGTCCAAATGGGGATGGGAGGTGAGTGGGCGGAAAGGGAATCTTGAAGACCTAGCGTGACTGTATAGAGGGGCGTCTAACATAACAGCGAGCTGGAACAGC